ACCCTTAACTGTTTAAACTGCCAAGTTTGAAATAATTCTCTGCCTCGTCTTTGATACGGGCGTGGATTGAACCATTCTGCTTAGAAACCATGTTCGATCTGCCCAAGTTACACTCTATTTAGCTGGGCCAGTCCAATTCCTCGACAAAAAGTTCTCACTCATTGGGCGTCATGGTGCTGGAGCAGTGCGCGATGCTAAGAGTTGCGCTATAGCTAGAGATAGAGGTTGTGGTGTGGGAGCTAGCAGAGGTGAGGGAGATGCGGTGGCCATACCTGCGAGGTGTGGACAACTTACATGGGCGCCATACCTGGTTCCTTCGCAAGCGACCTGCAGTGTAGAGAGGCATGCTAACGTGTTAGTACTTGGCAGAAGTTACCTGTAGGTGAGGCAGTGGAGAGGTCGACATACTCTTCATCTTCCTGCTCCTGCCCTCCATATCCTCCTCCCTTCTTCTTCTTCATCCTTTTGAGAGAGAGAGAGAGAGAGAGAGAGAGAGAGAGAGAGAGGGAGGTTATAGGCAGAGGTTATGTCAGGCTATGGGGCCCACGATCTGATTCGACATCACATGGCCAGACATTGATTGGAGATTCGACAGGGAGACTATTTTTGGTTTGCGCTATTGCAACTTTGGTTTTCTCCCTCATCTCCCGCTTCGTCTGGCTCTTCCTCCATCCCCTCATCCGTGATTTCTCTCCATCTCCATGCTCAAGAAGGGACCATTCTTACATGTATGCGGTCCCTCTCTTCTCTCACATGTGGGGTGTGTGGTGGCCTGAGTCGAGTCAGTGTTCGACAGGTCAGGTCGTATCTTTGAGTCTTCCACTGCGCTACATTATGCTATTTTGTATGTATGTGGATGTACATTGCTTGTTGATGCTTCGCTGATCCTTTGGCTCCGTTGCATCGCTCGGATTCTCCATTCGAGTCCTTTTCATCACTTTGCTGATCCTTTGGCTCCATTGCAACTCGGGTTATTCCAAGTATGCATGAGAGAGAGAGACGGCTGCACCTCTCCACGCTGAGCGAGCCGACCAATTGCCTTGTCAGATCCGAGTTTGAATGGAACTCTCCACCCCGTCATCACCAAACAACGCTAGGGAGAGATGGAGAG